GTGTTTCAATGGGTCTTTCTGTGGCTATCTTGAAATGAGGGAAGAAAATATTTTATCTGTAGGACAGATCTTGTAATTGTGGTCACATTCAGATTCAGAATGTTGTTGCACATCCTTTCCACCTCCTCTCAGTATTCCTATGGACTACTGACTTGATGCTTATTATTTTTTTAAAATTAAAGAAAATAGTCCTGGATTATCAAGATTCAAATACTGCATGTTAGAATCTAAACGTATCTCAGCACTATATCAGAAACAGGCCATACTCTTTTGTCATTTAATTGTGGCTAATGACAACCAGTCATGTCCCATGCTTGCTTCCAAAAAGCTCAGCCATGTGCAGAGACTAAAATTTCCAGAAATCTTTGGAGATCTGTGCTATGGGGGGGGGGGGGAGTATACCTCAACATTTCTGCCATATTTTGGTGTTTGTTTGTTTGTTTGTTTGTTTGTTTTTGGCAACTCTGCTCATCTTAGACTTCAAGCTCTTCCTGAACTGTGACCTTGGGTTCCCAATTTCCAGATCTGCAGGGATGTTACATAAACTGTGTGACCTTTCTGTCATCTCTAGTTGAGCTGTAAAGTACCTATAGTCAAGGGATTGTGTGTGTTTGTGTGTGTGTGTGTTGCCTTTAAATTACTAATTCCTAGCCATAAAGAAGAAGGAACTTTTGGGAATCTCCCCCCCCCCCAAGTTAACATGTGAACCTGACTCACAGACATATATATGCTGATATATTCAGATATGGGGTGAGTTGAGTGCCATAAACATGTAATTTGGGGTGGAGGAGCTACCAAGGAAAGTCAGTGGGAAAGCTGTCTAGGCTTATAACTTCCAGTCATCCAGGGTGGTGGTTATGATTTAATAGTTGTGTGTGTCTGTTGTGTGTCTTCAAGTCACTTCCAACTTATGGCGAACCTATCATGGGTTTTTCTTGGCAAGATTTGTTCAGAGGAAGTTTATCATTGCCTTCCCCTGAGGCTGAGAGAGTGTGATTTGCACAAAGTCACCCAGTGGGTTTCATGGCTGAGCTAGGAATCGAACCCTGATCTCCAGAGTTGTAGTCCAAGGTTCAAACCACACTGCGTCACACTGTCTCGCACGCTGTTCCCAAATTAGGCTGCTGCTTTGCCATTCATTGGCTAGTCTCCTGGTGGCGATAACTTTGTAGCATATATCTTTTAGGAAGTTACACAGGTTCATTTCCTGATTATGGCTGTGCAAACAGAGTAACCATTGTGCAAGAAGTTATGCTTTCCGCACATTGAATTAGTGTGTTTGCATGGTCACTTGGACAGCTGCACCATGGGAATGGACATCAATGCGATGCCATTTGCACGATTGGCTGTGCAATGGTGTAATCTGGGTCTTCCCATAGGAGCCTGCCTGAGTCTTAAAATTTTGGGAGGAGGATTTTCTCATGTTCTGAGGATGTGAGAGACGGCCTTTTTGGTGGCTGCTCCCAGGTTATGGACTTCCCTCCTACAAGAATTGCAATGGCTAACTGCAATCCTAACCTGGGATTACTGACTGGAGTTCTGGACCACCAATGATTCCAATTCCATCCAAGAATCTAGGAATCAATGAGGTATTGTCAGATATTGTGGCATGTTCCGAGCAATGTCTAATTTAATCATTACTATGCTTGAATGGGCTACTATATTCTGCTTGAAAGTTTGAATAATGCACTGTTGTTGTTGTTGTGTGCCTTCAAGTCATTTCTGACTCATGGCGGCCCTAAGGTGACCCTATCATTTGGTTTTCTTGGAAATATTTCTTCATGGGGGTTTGCCTTTGCTTTCTTCTAAGGTTGAGAGAATGGACTTGCCCCAAAGTAACCCCTTGGGTTCCCATAGCTTAGTGGAGATTTGAACCTTGGTCTCCAGAGTTGTAGTCCAGCACTCAGCCCACTGCAAAACATTGGCTCTCAACCTCAAACTGAACCGATTCCCAACCCATCCTCCTGGCAGCCTTCACAGACCTCCCAGGCCCTGCTTGGTGCACCTGAAGGGCACAGGTGAACTCTGGCAGAAGAGGAGAAACCAGTCCGACTGGAAGCTGACTCACCTGCGGCTGCTGAAAGAGTGTGGGCAAGTGCCATGCTTCATTCTGGAGGTCCTAAATGGCCTCATCCTTCATGATACTCACTTTCTGGAACTCTTGGAGGAGGAGGAGGAGGAGGAGGAGGAGGAGGAGCACAATGCAGTCCGAATGGCCTTTATGTCCTCCTGCCTCTGGCGTTGCTCAGTACTCCCCAGGATTAATGTAAACCTTGGCTGGCATATTGGAAGCACAGTGCCTTGGCAACCTTTGTGGTCTCCAGTGTGTCAGGGCACAAGCAAGCCATTCCTGAGACCAGAGTTCGGTGTTCAGGTTCATCAAACTGGTACGAGAAAACCACTGTGCCGAGATGGAGTTTTAGCAGACGCAGCTGATATGTCACTCACTGCAGGCTTTGAGGGCTGCCATTTTGAAAAATGGTTGTCGGTTTGGGGTTTTTTGGTATGGCTACAATTGCAGAAGTGAATGCATAGAACGAAGGGAAAATGCCTAATGTTAAATCAGAAACCTTGCTCCATCCAGTCCAATATTTTCAACACTGACTGGCAGCTATACCTTTCCAGGGTCTCCAAGAGGAGTTTTTCCCGGCACCACATACCCTAAAGGCACCAGAACCTGTCTGATATTAGAAGCTAAGCAGGGTCATCCCTAGTTAGTCCCTGGACGGGAGACAATCAATAAATCCAAGGTGCTGGAGGCTTTATTTCAGAGGGAGGAACTGGCAAAACCACCCCTGAGGATTCCTTGCTGAAGAAAACCTTGTGAAATTCATGGGGTCACCATAAGTCAACAGGTGACTTGAAGGCACAGGCATTGTCACATTGGAAGCAGCGTGGTGTTGTGCTTGGAGTGCTGGACTAGACCTCTGGGAGACCAGGGTTCAAATCCTGGCTCATCCATGGAAACCCACTGGGCAACCTTGGGCAAGTCACACACTCTCTCAGCCTCAGAGGAAGGCAAAGGCAAACCACTTCTGAATAAATCTTGCTGAGAAAACCCTGTCAAGGGCTTGCCGTAAGTCAGAAATGACTTGGAAAGGACACAACAACAACAATTATCCCATGAGAGATGGAGTAAGCTGGTTTTCGTCCTTCTACTGCATACTGGGTATGAACCAGTGAATTTAAATGACACAATAGGAGGCTTGCTTAAATATTTGGTGGAACTTCCTGATTGTAAAACATCTGTAAAACCTCGAAATGGACTGCCTTCAATGTGATGGACTCTCTCTCGTTGGCCGGATGATGGCCATCTGTCAGGGATGCTTTAGGTGTGCATTTTCTGCATGGGCTGAGGGTTAGATTAGATGGCGTTTGGGGGTCCCTAACTATACTCCACTGACTTGTCTGGGGCTGGGCTCTGTGGGTGCATCCGAAATCTACTTTGGCTGGGTCTGACTGGCCATGCAAGTGATGTACAGCTTGTTTTGCAATACGTCTTCATGCCTTTCCCGTGAATATTTCCACTGTTTCCTGATGGCTCATTCTTACGTAAGCAGTTTTTTTTTTTTTTTTTGGAGTTTGCTCCACAAATCTGAGATGTCTGCAAAGAGAAGAAGGAAAAAGTTAACCAAAAAATGGTTGTCTGTCTTTGCTGTTTGACAGCCATGCAAAACCCCCAAGCTTTACATGTGATCTCTGTGCCTTTAATGTGGGCGAGGTTTCCTATGTTTGCAGTGCCGGCAAACAACCACACAGACAGGAATGTGTGTGTGTGTGAGTGAATGAGTGTATGCGCTTTCAAGTTCTCATGGTGACCCCAGAATACCTTTCAAAGAAACGCTAAACTGTATTGAGAATTAGGAAGATGGGAAACACTCCTAGTGGTTAACTAATATGTGGCGGGCAAGTCAAGTTGCCCTTTAAAAGCAATGTCAAATAATTCCCCGTTCTTATGAAATCTGTCAGATTGGGTGGAGTGCTTCCAGGAAATGGTCCCTCTTGCCACAGGCACATCCCCCGAATTCAGATTGCCAGATGGTTGCAAACGGTAGGCATGGAGTCTTCCAAAGCAATCTGCTGCCCTCTGTCTGCATTTCTCTCCTGGTTCCTGTACATGAAGAAAAAACCCAAAGTTGTTCTGTATGTAGTTGGATGACAACTCTGGAGACCAGGGTTCGAATCCTTGCTCGGCCATGGAAACTCACTTGGTGATCTTGAGCAAATCACAATCTCTCAGCTTCAGAGAAAGGCAAGGGCAAGCCTCCTCTCAACAAATTCTGCAAAGAAAACCCAGGGGCCATTCACACGTTGTTGGTTTTTAGCACAATCGCTCAATGCATTCTGAGTTTGTTGTTCACTCTATGGAGCTGCATCTCTGTGCATCTCTGTAAGTTCAGTTGCTCACATGTGTCATAAGTAAAGATGAAGTTGATGATGCGAATGTATGCAAAACACGTTCAAGGCATGCAGTTTTATCTCGGTTTATCCCAGGTCTATTTGCATCGGTTGTTCACACATCGGAGAATGCAAATCTTTTAGGAAAACTTGGG